ACTTCTTCACGTCTAGCCTCATTCCTTTCATTTTGGCGACGATTAACTTCTTCACGTCTAGCCTCATTCCTTTCATTTTGGCGACGATTAACTTCTTCACGTCTAGCCTCATTCCTTTCATTTTGGCGACGATTAACTTCTTCACGTCTAGCCTCATTCCTTTCATTTTGGCGACGATTAACTTCTTCACGTCTAGCCTCATTCCTTTCATTTTGGCGACGATTAACTTCTTCACGTCTAGCCTCATTCCTTTCATTTTGGCGACGATTAACTTCTTCACGTCTAGCCTCATTCCTTTCATTTTGGCGACGATTAACTTCTTCACGTCTAGCCTCATTCCTTTCATTTTGGCGACGATTAATTTCTTCTCGCCTAGCCTCATTTCTTTCATTTTGGCGACGATTAATTGCTTCTCGTCTGGCCTCATTTCTCTCATTTTGGCAACGATTAACTTCTTCTCGTCTGGCCTCATTTCTTTCATTTCGACGATTTCTTCTATTTTCAGCTCTTAAGTTACTTGACATAATTGAGAAATTATTTATGTTTGATAAAACTTTATCTTAATAATTTTTTGCTATACTAATCTAAAATGAACAAAAACAATAAAGTGCTATTTATCAGTTTTAACCTATGAAACTATGTGTATAGCGTCTAATAAAATTTGTGAACAAAAGATATAACTAAACTGGTTTGAAACAGGGAAAAAGCCAGAAGTATCTTGTAATAACATACTATATTGTAAGTAATAAAACAGTATTTTTTGAAACAAATAAAAAATTTTATTATTTTAAAAGTCATATTAATGGTAATATTGAAAAGCAAAATTAGTTACATATTTTTAAATGACATGCCAACAATTGCAAACATGTTGCATCATATAGACCACATGTGGCTGACAACTGATTTTGAATACTATTTTATAATATATCTAAAGAGAATAATGTAAAGAGATTAATATGTGTATAGTGCATATATTAGACATATTAAACAGATATCATAGAAAAAAAAAAACCTTAAATATATTTACCCAATCTTTCAAAAACTATATAACACTTAACAAATAAAAGTTAATACAAAAGAAAATTTAGTATTATTAAAATTAAAAATGAGGATAAAAAGATGTAAAAATGTAAATTAATAAAAAAACTTATAGACAAATTATTAAAAACTTTTATAACATAAGAGTTCTTTGTTAGTTTAGGATTTAAAAACAGAATTAAAAATCAAAAAAATAAAATAGTAAAAGTATATAAATTAGATTAATAAAAAATTGCGAAATTAAAAAAAACATTTTTTTAAAAATTCAATTTTCTTTATGAATAAAAAAAAAGATAATTCTTCCAGTAGTTTAAAAAAGCTACTGGTAGAAATTAAAAGAGTTAAACCGCTTTCCAGCACCCCTCCTTCTACCATTGGTGTCATATGGGGCTTGTCTCCTCCATCTAAATGAGGGATCATCTCCCCCATATTGACTCCACCGGTAAAAAGCTCTTGAAGATATTGGACCTGGGTGCTGGGAGCGATATTGCAGGAAATCTTGATGCGATGCTAAAAAACAAAAACAAAAAAAGAAATAAATTTGAATACAATACTGCACAAAACAACCAATAAAAATATTATCTAAAACTATTTAGACTTCAAAAAAAAAAAAGTTATGACAAAAAAAATAAATAAATAAAGTAATGTAAAAATAAGGATATGCAATGTTTAAATTTCATATATACCTACACAAATACACATAACACCCACAAAACTGCATAAGTATGCAAAACAGATTACCTGATGGTCCTGCAGATATTGTTGCTATTATGGAAATAAATAAAAAAGTATACGAACTAACACATATATTAAACAGTTATGTAATTGCATACAAACATGAAAAAAGTAATGTTTAGGTTTCAATACACATAATACTGCATAAATACGGAAAAACTGCATAAGTATGGAAAACACATTACCTGGTGGTACTGCAGTTGATACTGTTGCTATTGCAGAAATAAATAAAAAAGTATATAAACAAACACATATATTAAACAGTTATGTAATTGCATACAAACACGAAAAAAGTAATGTTTAGGTTTCAATACACATAATACTGCATAAATACGGAAAAACTGCATAAGTATGGAAAACACATTACCTGGTGGTACTGCAGTTGATACTGTTGCTATTGCAGAAATAAATAAAAAAGTATATAAACAAACACATATATTAAACAGTTATGTAATTGCATACAAACACGAAAAAAGTAATGTTTAGGTTTCAATACACATAACACTGCATAAATACGGAAAAACTGCATAAGTATGGAAAACACATTACCTGGTGGTACTGCAGTTGATACTGTTGCTATTGCAGAAATAAAGAAAAAAGTATATAAACAAACACATATATTAAACAGTTATGTAATTGCATACAAACACGAAAAAAGTAATGTTTAAGTTTCAATACACATAACACTGCATAAATACGGAAAAACTGCATAAGTATGGAAAACACATTACCTGGTGGTACTGCAGTTGATACTGTTGCTATTGCAGAAATAAATAAAAAAGTATATAAACAAACACATATATTAAACAGTTATGTAATTGCATACAAACACGAAAAAAGTAATGTTTAAGTTTCAATACACTTAACACTGCATAAATACGGAAAAACTGCATAAGTATGGAAAACACATTACCTGGTGGTACTGCAGTTGATACTGCTGCTATTGCAGAAATAAATAAAAAAGTATATAAACAAACACATATATTAAACAGTTATGTAATTGCATACAAACACGAAAAAAGTAATGTTTAGGTTTCAATACACATAACACTGCATAAATACGGAAAAACTGCATAAGTATGGAAAACACATTACCTGGTGGTACTGCAGTTGATACTGTTGCTATTGCAGAAATAAATAAAAAAGTATATAAACAAACACATATATTAAACAGTTATGTAATTGCATACAAACACGAAAAAAGTAATGTTTAAGTTTCAATACACATAACACTGCATAAATACGGAAAAACTGCATAAGTATGGAAAACACATTACCTGGTGGTACTGCAGTTGATACTGTTGCTATTGCAGAAATAAATAAAAAAGTATATAAACAAACACATATATTAAACAGTTATGTAATTGCATACAAACACGAAAAAAGTAATGTTTATGTTCTAATACACATAACACTCATAAAACTGCATAAGCATGCAAAACACATTTAAAAAAATTTAAGTTTCAATACACATAAAACTCATAAAACTGCATAAGTATGCTAAACAGATTACCTGATATTATTGCTTGAGGTGTTAATGTATAGACAAAAAAATAAAGAAATAAAGTGATGTGCAAAATAAGATATGCAATCTTTAAGTTTTACATTAAATTACATCATTACCTGATGGTACTGCAGATGATATTGATGCTACTGTGAAAGTAAAAAAAAAAAAGTGTATAAAGTAACATATGTTTAACATTTATGTAATTGATAACAAACATGAAAAAAGTAATGTTTAACTTCAATACCCATAACACTCATAAAACTGCCTAAGTATGCAAAACACATTACCTGATCCCAGTGGGCACGGAAGTAAAAAAAGACGTCTTTTAAACGTCTTATACACGTTTTAGACGTTTTCTGAACGTCTTTTGAACGTTTTGGACGTCTTTTAAACGTTTAAAAGAAGTCTTTTTTACTTCCGTGCCCACTGGGATGGTACTGCAGATGATATTGATGCTATTGTAAAGGTAAAAAAAAAAAAAGTCTATAAAGTAACATATGTTAAACATTTATGTAATTGCATGAAAACAGTAATGCCTAAGTTTCAATACACATAAAACCCATAAAACTGCATAAGTATGCTAAACAGATTACCTGATATTATTGCTTGAGGTGCTAATGTAGAGACAAAAAATTAAACAAATAAAGTAATCTGTAAATTAACATATGCTATCTTTAAGTTTTAATACACATAACACTCATAAAACTGCATAAGTATGCAAAACACATTACCTGATGGCACTGCAGATGATATTGATGCTATTGTGAAAGTAAAAAAAAAAAAAAAAGTGTATTAAGTAACATATTTTAAACATTTATCTAATTGATAACAAATATGAAAAAAGTAATTTTTAAGTTTCAATACACATAAAACCCATAAAACTGCATAAGTATGCAAAACACATTACCTGATGGTACTGCAGATGATATTGATGCTACTGTGAAAGTAAAAAAAAAAAAAGTGTATAAAGTAACATATTTTAAAAATTTATGTAATTGATAACAAACATGAAAAAAGAAATGTTAAGTTTCAATACACATAAAACCCATAAAACTGCATAAGTATGCAAAACACATTACCTGATGGTACTGCAGATGATATTGATGCTACTGTGTAAGTAAAAAAAAAAAAGTGTATAAAGTAACATATTTTAAAAATTTATGTAATTGATAACAAACATGAAAAAAGTAATGTTTAATTTCAATACACATAACACTCATAAAACTGCATAAGTATGCAAAACACATTACCTGATGGTACTGCAGATGATATTGATGCTATTGTAAAAGTAAAAAAAAAAAAAAGTGTATAAAGTAACACATGTTAAACATTTATGTAATTGCATGAAAACAATAATGATTAAGTTTCAATACACATAAAACCCATAAAACTGCATAAGTATGCTAAACAGATTACCTGATATTATTGCTTGAGGTGCTAATGTAGAGACAAAAAAACAAATAAATAAAGTAATCTGTAAATTAAGATATGCTATCTTTAAGTTTTAACACACATAACACTCTTAAAACTGCATAAGAATGCAAAACACATTACCTGACGGTACTGCAGATAACGCTATAGTGAATATAAACTAACATATACTAATCAATTAAACAGTTTATTTTAGAGTGATAAAACCGCACACAAACATCAAAAAATGTGTGTTAAAATTAAACAAAAAGAAACATAAGTGTACTTTGCTTACCAATTGAATTTTCTAAATTTTCTAAATAGAATAAAAAAAATTATTAACATTAGGAAAGAAACTAACATGCAGAATATTTGTCAACTTTAGGAAATCTATAAATAAAGTTGGAACAAAACAAAAGGCAAAAATAACAATCACAAAACAAAACAAACCAAAAAAGAAAAAAGCGACAAAAAAAATAAAAAATAAAAATAATAAAAACAATCCACAAGAACAATATAGTAACTTACTAAGTTGTTGAAATATAAGCCCTATAAAAAAAATGCTAAAAATTGTATCAAAAAAGCTAAAAGACCATAGAATACACCTTTTTTTTGAAAGTAAAATGCTTATCTTTATCTATAATACACAAATGTAATATAATCAAATTCTGTTTACCCATTGAATGTTCTAATTTTTCTAAATAAAATGAAAAGCTTATAAACATTAAAATAAACTAACTTGCCAAATATAGAATAACTTTATGTTAAATAAATATGTAATAAAAAAAATAAAGAGCATTACAACAACAATAACAAATTGCTTACTTAGATTCTCAACAGAATCTTCTAATTTTTCTAAATAAAATAAATTTAAAAGTTACAAAAGTCACTTGCTGACTGACAAACTGTCACAACTGACAAAAGTCAGTTGCTAAATAACTTTAAAAAAACTAAAAAAGCATAAATGTATTTGCACACAAAAAAAACAAAAAACAACAACAAAATTCCTCACTTAGCTTGTCCATTACTTCTGCTAAACATTAAAAAAAAGTTATAATTAACAAATTGAAATATATATCTTTGTAACATATCTTTCTCATACAAAGTTAGCTTACTTGGCAAGAGCTCTTCGGCTCTGATCTCTTGAACATCTAATATATATATAGACAAAATTAACTTTCAAAATATTTACTTTTTCAATTAAACATATAAGATTTGTCTTAAATTATAAAACTATTGCACAGTTTTATAATTTAACACATTCAGTAAAT